GTTCGTCCAGACACTGGCCCAACGACCCTCGTTGATCGATTGATCTAGCTCGGGGAATCTCGCACAACCAGGGTCGACCAGAACCTTACATTCCAGCCGCTGCTGGACCGCTCTTGCGCCATGATCGTCTCGCAAACGGAGGGGATGGCGACGTCGATTGTGGACTCAGGCCTCGGCCTCCCTTTGTTCACTGCACAATTCGGGAAGCGGATCCTCTCGGCGGCGCTCCATGGAGGCGAAGTACGTGCGTGCTTAGGCGACTCACTCCGCTGCGAGGCTCATGTTGGGCCTCCGCTCCAGCGTGTCCCTGGGCGCCGGGAGACATGTGCGCTGCTGTTCCGACTCACGCTTCTTCACGCGCGCGTGGTGGCGACCCTGGCCCTGGCCCAGAGGATTGTGACGTCGCGTGCTCGCATCGTGCTGGGTCTCGCTGATGCAGTGGCCCGTGTTGCGTGCCTGGCGGCAGCAGCCGCTACAAGAAAGGCTCGATGCGATCGCGCGGACGCCATCGCCAGGAGCAGCGGCACGGCCCCGCTGCATCTGGCGCGTGGCCTGTCGTCCGTGGGCCAGGGCGGCCGGGCGGGCCGCCCCCAGCAGCAGGCCCACCACCACCGCCTCGCAGCCTCCGTGGGCGAGGGCCTCGAGGCCTCCGTGCGCGGCCGCTCGGTCTCCGCGGCCGCTCCCGCCGTGCGCACCACGCCGCTGCGCCTCGGGGCTCTCTCGGGCCGCTCCGGGGGCGACCCGGGCAGGCCTTGGCTTGCGGCGGGCCCTCGCGGCGCAGGGGGGTTGCTCGGCCGCCGGCGCGGGCCTCCTCCCGGCCCTGCCCCGCCTCCCCCGCTCGCTGCCCCCTTTCGGCTCCCTCCCTCTCGCCCTCCCCCCTCCATGCTGTTCCCTCCCTCTCCTTCTCCCTATCCCTCTCCCCCTCCCCCTCCCTAATGCTGTTCCCTTCCTCTCCTCCTCCCTCTCCCCCTCGGGGCGCTGGGGGGACCGATCCCGCCGCCGGTTTAGGCCGAGAACAAGATGGAGTGCTTCGTCGCCGCCAAGGCCCTCGCCTCCGCCGTGGCCAACCGCAACCCCACCCAGCTGGTGCAGGCCCTCATCCAGGCCACTGCCGCCGCCACGCGTCGGGCCGGCCGTTCCCCCCGCCAGCCGCGTCCTCCTCCTCCTCCTCCTCCTCCTCCTCCTCCTCCTCCTCCTCCTCCCCCTCCTCCTCCCCCTTCTCTCCTCCTCCCCCTCCTCCTCCCCCTTCTCTCCTCTTCCCCCTTCTCCTCCACAGCCGTTTTCTCGCTGCGGCCATCAGCCACGCATTCCAGACTTGGTGTCAGTCCGATCCGATCGGATTTCGATTCAGATCCGATTGCAATCTGGGATTGTTTCTCCAACTGTGGCTCCGATCCGATTATTGGGTGCCGATTTGAATTATGGTCCGATTTTGCCGATGCCATGGGAGGCGGGGCAAGCTTTCGATTCCGATTCCGAATCGCGCGCGGGATCCGCTGTTCGGGCTCCGATTTCGATTCGACCCGATACGCCTGTTTGACTTGATGTGCCACAGATCCGATTCTGAGTTTTCGCTTCGAAGACCGGCGGTCTTGCATTTTGCTACACCGTGGTTCCCCCTCCCAGGTCCTGCCGGCGCAAATATGATGTTCATGTCTCTCGTATGGGACACGGGTCGGTCGGGGGAGAGCGAGAGAGCATCTCGCGTTTCAGTGCGCGTGGTCGCGTTTCTTTTTATGATTGTAGCATGTGTGTTACACCCGTCGCCCTGCGATGCTGTCTTGCGCCCGAGAATGTCACGCCAATGCGATTAATGTCTGCTTCATCTTCTCAGAAGTCGACGGGCGTATCTCCATGCATGGTGCACGTTGACGTCCTGTAAACGACTTCACGTGCCAGGGTGCTTATTATGCGGGTGGATGTTTTGACCTCTAGTGATGCCCTTGCATGCTGTGATTTCTGTTTACCGCCCTGGTGTCCTGTGGTTGGCGCCTTGTCGGGCGGTGCACCGTGAGGCCCAAATGTGTGGCGATGACTTGTTGCCACTGGGGTACCCTTTGGGTGGTGTCCTTGGGCCGCGCGTGCCCGGGATGGCAGGACCGCTTGCCGGCGCGCGGGCAAGCCCTACTTCTCCTCGGGAACCTGCGCTGCGCCGGGGGCAGCGTGGCAGAATTCGCCTCCTTGGCTGCGCGCTGCTTCGCGCAGCTGCCTAAGGTGCCCAACTAAGCTGGCAAATTGCTGGGGCGCCAGCGGCCGCACTGTTTCGCCCGCTGTCCGCGAATCCTAGAAAACCCTGTGAAGCTACATGGTGGTTTGTGACGTGCGCCTTACTTTGCCATGTTTTCTAGTCGCCGCCATGGTGCCGGTGTGGAAGGTTCTGCAAACACACACGCTGCAACACGTACCTTGCAGCATACGCAACGTAATTTTGTAGATTGCACTTCATGCGCGCTTCACCACATAGCTCGTAAATCGCGAATCTAAAAACTATTGTTTGGGACCCACCCTGGCACTCATTGCAACGATGCCGTTTTAGGCCGTTGCCGCATGTACTTGCATATCAGTTCGTTGCCTTGCGTCGCGATACCCGCATGCATATCAGATGACCTCATGTACGTGATGGGGGCATGAGACATGTGCGAGCGTAGCAGAAACGTCACTTGAGCACGGCCACCCGCGCACATCAACCCAAGAACGCAATTTCGCATTACATGCTCATGTGTGTTGCTGCCGCTTGGCATTGGGGGATCAGCACCACTAGATTGAATCTGAGACGTTCACTTGTCTGGCGCGGCCGCGGTAATCAGTTATAACCCTGGTTCATGTGACAGTAGCAACTGCTTCACTAGCCCCGTATGGAACAATTCCCATGCCGTGTCAAGGTTTCGAGGCCGCCGTATTTCACACTCTCCCACCCACATGTGGCGCCATCAAGCACTTCGCTGCGATAGGCGGTTGCAAGCGGCTCCGACCATACACGCTCCATCGCCAGCCAGCTTCACGTCATCGTGGGCGTTGTGTGTGGCGACGCCCAGAAGGTTGTAACCAATGTCACTTCATCTTTTCTCGATTCTTTAATGGGCATTTCTTGAGGCCTACGTGGGCCATGTTGTTGCGGCCTTGGGCTCCTCTGGGGTCGTCTTGCGGCCGTCTTTGGGCCCTCGTGGGTCGTGTTGGGGCCGTCTTGATGCCATTCGGGAGCATTTTGGCATCTTGGGCCCGTCTCGGCCGTCTGGGTCTTTTGGTACTGTCTCGGGGGCCTCTTGCGGCCCTTTTGGGCCATCTTGGGGCTCCTTGCTGGGATCGTCCTGAGCCGTCTGGGGGGCTTCTCTGAGCCCTGGCCCCCGTGTCAGAATGCACCTTCGCTCACCGCAGCGACCGAAGCAGTGCTATTTTCCATTGTCTGTCTCGCACGGCCTCTGAGTTGCAACGACGGGCGTCTTGCCGAGGACACCGCATCCACGACCCCGCCGTGAGACTGGAAGCACTCGTGCCTCGGCAGTGCAGTGGCGAGCCCGCCGCGCAAGCGTCCAGCCGACCGCGCGTTTGGGCCACGCCGCTGGCACAGGCGAAGATGGCTGGTGTCGACGAGAAGACGATCGAGGAGGGTTGAAGAGAGGGGGGCCTCGTCCTTCCACTCCGCCCCCAGACCTCCAGCGACTCCAGAAGATCGCGCCGGATGTTTCTCGTGTGTTCCGGCGCCTGGGTCCCAGAAAAGCCGAGAAACGATTCGGGTTGAAAAGCCGGTCTGGGGGAAGGGATCCAGAGTTCTAGGAGTTGGCGATTCGAAAATGTCGAGTCGTCGGAGGTCTGGGTCGTCCTCACATCACGCCTTCCCCACCAGCACTCTAGCACCATCTGCCCTTGCTTGTCGCCGTCAGCGCTCTCCTGCTCATCCGCCTGCCGCTGATGCGGTTTATGATGGTCCTTCTAGTCGTGCTCTGGTTCCACCTCCGCGTGCTACTATTGCACATCCGAGTCTCCCTCTCAATGATCCGCCTCCATGTCTCTCTCGATCTCTGTTGCTCCCATTGTTCATGGTGTTGCTGGCGCGAGCCCTCCTATCACGTCGAATATGCAAACCAGGTGATGGTTATTCAAGGCATGATATCAAGCCACCGCGCAGTAGTCGATGCTCCTCATCCTTCTTCGTTCGCATCAAGCAAAGATCAGAGTGCGAGGGCCGAGCGGTTTTGAATTGCGCTGGGATGCGCAGCTAAAGTGGAATTCCGCGGTGAGGGTTCTTCTTTTCCCACCCTGAAGGATAATTCGTATTGATCCCCGTTCGGTGCCTATGTTGTTTCCTCGCATGGCGTGTGCCCCTCGACGGCAAAAGAGGTCATTTTGGCGATGATCAACATGGACGCGTTCTCATCGAGATTCGATAATGCGTGGCAGGAGTGGGCGTGGGACGCAGCGTGCGAAGTGCCGCTCTCGCCTCAGCGTTGCGCAGAGATTTCCTGGAAGTTCCGCTCCCGCTTGGGCGCGGCGCTCATTTCTCTTTCGCCAAAGAGCCGCGCCCGACAGAGTGGCATGCTGCCGTCCTTTCAAGCGACTCGAAATGTTTCTTGAAAGTTGCGTTCCCGCTAGTGCACGGGGCATGTTTGCCGCGTGTCAATCTCATGTGAAGCTGTGTCGCATGCGCAGGTTTCATATCATATGTTTGCAGTCGTTTTGGCACGGCGTAAACTTTATGTTGCCAACTGGCCGGGAGTTCGGACGCGCGCGAGCGAGTTCAATGTTGTTTCTGTTTCAGAGCCGCGCAGATTATCTGCTGAACGTTGAGCTCCTGCTGGAGCGGATCGCCTTTACTCTTTCGCCATAGTGTCGGAAGCGGAGTTGCCAGATAGCGAAACGATGTGTTCACCGCATGGCCATATCATGTTTGCTTTACAGGTGGAGTTCCCGTCTGCGTGGAGTGCAGGCTCCATTCGCCAAATCATTGGAAACGGAGTCGCGAGAGAGCCGAAAGAGATTCTCGTTTCCGGGCCACGCAAGTCGTTGATGAAAGGCTGAGCTACCCTCGCGTGCAGGGCTCCGTCAGAACATCTTCTGGAAAGTTGCGCTCCCGCCCTGGTGCGTCGACAGCTTTCTTTCACCAAACTGTCGGAGATGGGGCCGCGCTCGAGCAGACAGGTGTATTCGCCCCTCCTGACAGTTGCGCTCTCGCTGCGGTGCAGTGGCTGCTTCTCGTTCGCGAGCTTGTCGACAGAGCAGCCCCATCCGGGCCCCGTCCATCCCGCTCCAAAAACGAATCTTCGTTTTGTGTTCAGCATGGGCGTTTTGCAGTCAACGTCTCAAAGAGCGGAGCAGGGGCGGGATGTGGCACACATTGTGCGCAAGCAGGCGAAACGTCGTCTCCGCCTCGGCGGTGCGCTCACTTTTCCTCCGCATTGAGCTCTCGTTCGGGCGCGGCGTACCTGTTTCGCCCGCTTGTCCGTCGACGCGCGAACGGGCGAAACTGTCGCTTTCGCTCTGGCGCTGCGCAGATTTCGTCCGACTCGGAGACTGGTAGACCTTTTACCCTGACACGTCGACTAGCGAATTGGCCGTTTTCGGTTCGCGAGAGGGCGCGGCCGTCATTTTTGCGGGTCCAGGCACGTCGGTTTCGGTCCTCAGCCTTTTGCACGACAGGGTGGTTTACGAAAGGGAGGTTTGTCCACCGCCGACGGATTGTGGCACTCCCGCTTCGGCGCGGCGCACATTCTCGCGCGTCAAGTCGGTTGGAGCAGAGCCGCGCGCGAGAGGGCGCGGCGGGGCGCGGCGCCGAGGGGCGCCGCGGGAAGCTGCCCGCGGAGATCGCCTTGCCGACGCCGCGCGCGAGCGGCGCTGCGCGCGGAAGCAACTCAGTGCGACGAAGTGGCAGGTCGTCGTGTTCTCATTCGTTGTTTTGCCGATCGGCCCCCCCCCCTTCCCCTCCCCCCCACGGAGTGGATCTCGGCTGGTTTGACGCCCGTTTTCCGAGCAGGAGGAGTCTTTCCTCCATAGGACGCACAGTTGCAAACAGTCGCATTAAGCAGAGGTCCAGAGCCAGACCCCCCCCCTCCGCCCAATGTCAAAACGCCGAATAAGAAAACGTTCACCGGGAGAGAGCGGCAACCCAACGGAGGCTGCCGCTGCCTTCGCGCCCGCCCGCCATCCCTGGGCCCCATGGCGGGCTGCGAATGTCCCGTTGACCGCCCGCTCGCCACCCTGGACGGTGGCGGGGGGGGGTGCTGGCATCGGCTCGTGGCAGGTCGAGGTTTCCGCGGTGCGGTGGCCGCGGGAGTGGGGGGGGGGCTAGTCGTCAGCGAGCTCAGTGATGGGCCAAATTTCCACCACAACCACTACCATAGGTAGGAGAGGGAGGAGGAGGAGGAGGAGGAGGAGGAGGCGGAGGCGGAGGAGGCGGAGGAGGAGGGGGAGGGGGAGGGGGAGGAGGGGGAAGAGGCCCTCCCCATCCTCCCTTCTCCCCCGTCTTACCTATGGGTCGTGGTGGTGGAAAGTTGGCCCATCACTCAGCACTGGACGCCTGCGGCGCTGGACCGGGGGCGGGAGCGCCCTTCCCAGAGTTGGCCGCCGCTCGGCGCCCAGCACCGCGCCTCTGGTCCGAGCCACTGCTGGCGCGGACCTGCCTTGAGCGACCCTTCGCGCAAAAGTGCCTGCACATCGTTCATGCCTAATTATTCGAAAGTTCTTTGATTTTTTGGGGGGCCACGATCCTTTCAGTTCTAATTGTTCTATCCTGGGCCTCTTCCTGGCCACGAGCACAATTAGAAACGAGCACGATTAGGCATGAACGACGTGTACTTCTGCTGACTGTGGCGCGCCGCACGATTCGTGCTCGTCGCGCTCCTCGGAGCTTCGGCCGCCGCAGAGGATGCTAAATGAATGGTGCTCTCGCCGCAGCGCGCCGCGCCCCGGCTTTCCGGAGTTCCGCCTCCGCGCGTGCGCCGCCCGTTTTTCCCTTTTTCCGCCAAGCCGTCGGACAGCGGGGCCGGGCAGCGCGCGAGCGCTTTCCGTCCGCTGGGTGGGAGCGCGTTCCGGTGCCGACGCCAAGTTGTGCCACCACTGATTGCTATGCTGCGGGGGGCGGGTGGTGGGGGAGAGTTAGGTGGGGCCCGCTGGTTTGGTCGACTGGCCCAGCTTGATCAATCATTGCGTACCCCCACCCCGCCAGTCATGTGGCCGGAGGCCACGGGATCCGATCCGAGCGCGTGTGGACGCACGGTGGAGCTCTTCATCGAAGCGTGTAAGGGGTGTGTCGATATGGGCGGGGGGGGACGCACGTGGACGCATCCACTTGGGCTTTATGTGGAACCCATGATGAGCAACGAAGAGTGCGAAGGCTGTGTCGAAAGAAGTGGGGCGGCCGCACGAAGGTGGACGCACCCACTGGGGCGCCAGATTGAGCTCCCATGGTGCCACGCCATGTGCGAGGGGTGCGCGGCAATGGTGGGGGGCGCATCCCTCAGGTGGAACCTCCTTTCATGGGGGGGGGCACGAAGCGTGTCATGGGGGGGGGCGGGGCGGGGCGACATGACATGGGCTGGGCGGCCGCACGTGGACGCACCCGCTGGTGTGCCCAAATTATCGACGCGGCCGCATGTCGACGCACCCATTGGGGCCTTAAGCGGACTTCTTTATGGGACCACGAAGCGTGTGAGGGGTGTGCCGAAAATTGGCTTGAGAGAGAGAGAGAGGCAAGGATGCGGGAGAGGGAGGAGGGGGAAGAGGAAGGAGGAAGGACGCTGCGCTGCGGATTCAAAACGGGGACCCAGCATCGCACGATGGTTGGGATCAATACAGCGTCTACTTCTTTTTCCGTTTAGACATGTCGTCGCTGACAACGCAAACTGCGGGGCAGGAATGGGGCGCGGTGCGCGGCGCGCATGCTCTTCTTGTTTTCTGGGAGTTGCGCTCCCGCGAGGGCGTGCCGCACACGTGTGTCGTCCGCCAGCTCGTCGACCGCAGGGTCGCGCGCGAACGGTCGAAGTGTCGCTCTCGCTTCGGCGCAACACGCAGATGCCGTCTGAAAGGGCCGCTCCCGCATGGGCGCGGTGCATGTTTCTTTTTATCGCAGAGTCGTTGTGGCTGGGGCCGCGAGCGGGCGATTCATCGCCCTCGTCCAAACTCCGTGCAGCTTTCGCCTGCCAGTTTCGTTCTCTCTCTCTCTCTCTGGCACGGCAGGAGTTGTTTCGTTTGTCGAGTCGCGGGAAAGCGGCATCGGCAGCGCGGCCGCGCAAGTGCGGGCGGAGTGCTGTTTTCGCCAGAACGTGTCGTGGAGATGCTCTGTGAAAGTGGCAGTGCTGCCCTGGCGCGGCCCATGCTTCACTCTCGCCGCGCTCCTTGGACATCCGGCCGCGCGAGAGAGGGCTGAACTTATGGTGTTCTGGCCGCGGCGTCGCGCGAGGAGCTGCTTCTGGAAGTGCCGCTCCCGCGCGCGCGCGGCTCGTAGTTCTCCCAGCTGCCACAGTCGTCGGAGGCGGGGCCGCGTGCGAGCGCCGACTGCTCGCTAGGGGGGAACGCGCGCCGTTGCCGGTGTCAAGCTCCCGTCCCCGATGTCGACGGCCGTGCTGCGGGAGGAGGGGCCCGAATGTGCGGGGTCCGCTGGATCGCTCGACCTGGCCACATCGGTTTTGAGATTTGGCAGGGAGCGGCATGCAGATATGAGTAGATGGGCACAAAAAAAAGCTCGGCCATCCAGGCACGTGGCACAATCACAGTCCACATGGATATCCGACTCTTATTGAGGTGATCATGATCAGAGGGTGCACTCCACATCATCCGCTCCGCGTCTTCTTCATCAATAGTCATACTCCTATGTCGCCGTTACATCCCAACCTGTTTTTCGCGCGGGGTCCGATGGTTGCATCAGTTGTGGACCTGCAGCGCAGTATAGTGTTGAGCTCATTCAGGTGCGCCTGCTTCTCCGCTTGGAGGGCACGACGTGTCCTCGCCCAGCGGGCCGTATAGGCTGGCTCGAGGGGCGGCGGCTGCAGGACCCCCAGGGGCAGCCCCTGCGGTGGCCGAGCCCGCGCGATGGAGGCGGCGCCGCCGGAGCCGGGAGTCGACTGGAAGGCCGCAGGCGCGGCGGCGTTGGCTCAGGACGCAACGCGGGCCGCCGTCGCGGCGGTGCGGGTGCAGGCAGCCAGCGCGGGCCCCGGCGCCGGCCGGCGGGGCACTGGCCGGTTCCGCGACGCAGGCGGCGCCGCAGGCGCGGCGGAGGGGGCGCCTCCGGGGCGGCAGCGGCCCGCGGACGGCGCACCAGCGGAGTGCGAGGAGGGCGCTCGCGCCCTCGACCTCTCCAGTGCCCACTCCGCCGCGCTCGCGGAAGGCTGGTCGTACGACCGCCTCGCCGTGCTGCGGCTGGCTGGCACGCGGCTGGGGGCGGGGCAGCTCGAGGCGGTGCTGACGCAGGGGTGGCGGCTGCGCAAGCTGGACGTGAGTTACTGCGGCCTCGCAGAGCTGCCCTCCGCGGAGCTGTGGGCGGGCATGCGGTACCTGTCGTCGCTGATGCTGCACCGCAACAAGCTCGGCAACTGGGAGGAGGTGCGGCGCGCGGCGAGCCCGCCGCGACTCGAGTGGCTGGCCCTCTTCGAGAACCCGATTGCCAGCAACGGCGGCTTCCGGCGGTTCTCAGGAGGGAAAAAACAGACACACACACACAGACACTATGAATCGTCGACCCCCCGGAAACTATGGGAAAAGATAGTGGGAAGTGGGGGAGGGAGGAGACGAACACCCAGAAAACGTGGAAAAGTATGGAGACTCCAGGGACATGTGTGCCTGTTCAATTGTGCGTCCCAGGGCCCCTTCCCCCTTCAGGTTCGTGCTGGAGCTGGCCCCGTGGCTCCTCGCCGTGGACTTCTGGGCGGTCACCGACGACGAGCGCGCCCTGCCTGGGCAGGGGCCTCGCGAGCCGCCGTCCGCCGCGCACGCGGCTGGCCGCCGCTTCTCGGCGCGGTGCGACCAGAGCGTGCTCAGCCAGTTCCGCCCCAAGCTGCCCGACAGCGCAGAGGTCCTCCTCCTCCTCTCCTCCTCCTCCTCCTCCTCCTCCTCCTCCTCCTCCTCCTCCTCCTCCTCCTCCTCCAGTTCCTCCCCTCCAAGCTCCTCCTCCTCAGAGGTCCTCCTCTCTCCTCCTCCTCCTCCTCCTCCTCCTCCTCCTCCTCCTCCTCCTCTCCTCCTCCTCCTCGCTCGCGCGCGCGCTCGCTCGCTCGCTCGCTCGCTCGCTCCCTAAAGGCTTGGGTTCGTGGCCTACACTCTAGGATGGGGTGAGAAATAGCGGGACTGGGAAAGAGTCCTCGCCCTTGCCCGTCTCGAACACCGTGTCGTGCAGAAGTCGGGGGAGGGGAGGGGAGGGCAACCACGGCAGCGGAGCCGCAGGCACCCCGAGCTGCGGGCACAGTGTCTGGAGGGCCAGACCTCCAGGAAGGCGGGCCATCACGATATGGGCAGCACCATAACGCAAGGGCTTTCATTATTGCCGGCATCGATTGGGGCCCACATAGTCGCACACCATATGGAGTCCGGCATCGTACGGATCAAGAGGAGTAAAATAGCAGAGGAGATCAGGGGGGATGTCGGTGGCATGGTCGGCGTGATCAGCACGCGCGTGTTCGTGCCTGTGCCACGCCTCAGACACAACAGCCCCCGCAAGCAAGGCACACAGAGGGGACGGGCACTGCTTGGCGTCCGTGGTGTGCCACCCTCCCTGCTCGCTTCGTCCGCACAACGTGTGGTGCGCATGGCTGCGGTCACATCGTCCACGCGTGCGCATGCAATCAAGAGCACGCTCCAAGGCAGGGGCATGGACACCGCACATGCACGTGGGGTTCAGAGCCACTCCTCCGAACATGCACTGATCAATAATGCTCCTCCTCCTCCTCCTCCTCCTCCTCGTCCTCCTCCTCCTCCTCCTCCTCCTCCTCCTCCTCGTCCTCCTCCTCCTTCTCCTCCTCCTCCTCTTCCCCCTCCTCCTCCTCCTCCTCCTCTTCCTCCTCCTCCTCCTCCTCCTCCTCCTCCTCATCATCATCATCATCATAGTCAGATGTTTGTATCGTCCTGGTCTGTTGCTGATCCGTTCCATGGCCGTTCTTGCTCCGCAACAATTCAAGCGCAAACAGAGAAAGCGGCCGCTTCATGCCTCTGTCCTCCGTGGCTGGTGGCCTCTCGCGCGTCGGCGCCTGGATTGTCTCCGACAGGGCTTGGGGCCTCGTGGAGAGCACCCTCGGCAACGCGACCGAGTGCGCGGTCGCGTACGGGCTCGTCGGCTCGCTGAAGTGGGGAGCGGCCCTGCTCTCCATCGCGTCCTTCTTCCTCGGCGTCTTCGTCGGACGCTATGCCGTTCCGAGTCCGAGCAGGGCAGCGGTTCGAGATCCAGTGGCGCGGCGGCGAGAGCATGCAGGCCCGCATCGCGATCGCGCCGTGCACGCCGACCGACTATCAGGAAGTGACAGGTCTGGATCCGAGCGAGAAGGCCGAGGAGGACGGGAGGTTGTGGTATATGGCGACGCCCGACGGAGACGTCTACCCGCACGAGCTGACGGCCCAGGCATTGCGTATCATCGTGCCGTACGATATGACGGATCGGAGGCAGCTGGTCAACCGAGAGGGGCCAACCCCAGGGGCGTCGGCACGTACGGCAGGGACTGGGTGATGAGCCCCGCGGCCTTCGCGCTCCAGTTGCGCTTCGTGTTGGGGCAGTCGCTCGACGAGGTGCTGGAGACGGCGGCGGCGGCGGATGGAGCCCCCGAGGAGCCCGAGGCGGAGGAGAAGCCAGCGGCGGCGAGAGCGTCTTCAGGATCGGCCTTGGCCTCGGCGAAGATTCCGACTGAGTGGGACTGGCCGCGGGCGCCTCCCAGACCCTTCGCCGTCGCGTTGGCGATGCGTCGCCTCGAGCGACGGCGGGGGGAAGGGCTTGCTGCCCGACGAGGACCTGGACGCCTTCGTGATCGCGTCGGGGTTCGGCATGGCGATGAAGGGGGGCCGCACGATGCTGGTGCGGGCTCTTCCTCCCGACGGCGGGGACGAGCTCGACGCGCGCGTCCTCGCGCTGCGGGCCAGCGCCACGGAGCGCTTCCTCGGGATGCGTGAGGCCGTGACGGAGCTCACCGAGACGCAGTGGGAGTTCTTCCCGATCAGCGGGCCCCGCACCGTGAAGTGGGTGTGCGAGTTCGTGCGCGAGAATGACGTGACCTTCAGGTCTCGGCACGCCAAGTTCAAAGCCGAGACGGGGCTGTCGTCGTCGGACCAGGACGTCTCCGTCCACGAGCTCTGCTGCCGCATCATGCACCTGCTGCTGACCTACGACCAGCTCAATGCCAGCGAGCTGTCGTGTGCAGAACTGGTGTGTCGTCGACTCCAGATGGCCGAGTACCGCCATCGCGAGAGGGTTCTCACGACCTCTCGAGGTGACGAGCTGCTCGAGGACTCGCACTTGTACCTCGGGACGGGCGAGACCCGCGGGTTGGTCTGCATCTCGCCGAAGCTGCTCACGTTCGTAACGGATGAGCTCCACAAGGAGAGCCTCGTTCTCAAGGAGCGGCGGAAGCTGAAGGAGGAGCGGATGGCCTCGCGGGGCGATGACGGACACGGCGGCGGCGGCGGCGGTGACGGCAAGGCGCGCCTCGCAGGGATGCAGAGCACCGTTGATCGCCAGAAGTCGGAGATCGAGAAGTTGAAGAAGCAGCTGGCGGCTGCACCCAGGGCGGACCCCAAGGGAAAGGGCCGTGGAGGTGTCACCGCTGGCGGGGAGGGGAGCTGACGCTCCCTTCAACTTCACGATCATGGTGGTCCAGCGGGACGTCCTTCCGATCCCGCTGGACCTTGCGACTGCGCACTTCGAGCGGCGCAACCACAATGCATGTTTTTCAAATTCCCGAAGTCGGCGGAGCCGGGGCCGCCAGCAGCTGGCCGTCGAGCTGTGGGCCTGCGAGGTCGTCGCGGCGCTCAACTTTCTCAACGGGCGCCTGGGCGGCGACGGGTTCGACAAGTTATCGGCGGCGCAGCTCACTGGCATCGAGTCGCTCTACGACCACCTGTTGGAGTTCGGGCCTCCTGATGTCAGTCCCACGGCGGCTTACACTGAGCTGCGTGGTTGTTCTCCTGGGTACGACATGTCCCCAGCGAAGGCGGTTCTGTTCACCGAAGGGAGCGTGGCGGTGCCTTCGGACTCCAGGAAGTGCGAGCCCGCCTACCTGTTGTCGGAGTCCGTGCGCGACTTGTGGCAGGACTGGGAGAAGCATCTCTTGCGCCCTCGTAAGGAGTGGCTTGCTAATGTACCACCTCACTTCGACGCCAGGTTGAAGAGCTCGCCGAAGCTCTACGCCAGCTTTTTGCACGACTTGTTCAATGCGGGCATGATCGAATTCACCAGCGAGCGCAAGCACACGCTCGCGCCGTTCTTCGTCGCCAAGCGGGACGGGAGCGGCCAGCAGCGGATGGTTCTGGACACCCGGCGTGTCAATCGTATGTTTTATGACCCCGACGTCGCCGAGCTGCCGACGGCAGGCAGCTGGCAGAGCCTGCGGCTCGGGGCCGACAGCAGCCTCTTCCTCGGTCAGTGCGACATCGAGGCAGCCTTCTATCGGTTCCTTGCGCCGCCTGGTCTGAGCGAGCTGATGATTCTTCCGAGTATCGATCGCGGTGCTCTTGCCAATGTGCTGCCGAGTGGCACTCTCGACGGCATCGTCGGTCGCAGGTGTTCGCCTTGTCTGAAGGTGCTGCCCATGGGCTGGAACTGGAGCCTGTTCTTCTGCCAGCACGCCGTCGAAGGTATGCTGAGGACCGTCGGCATCGGCGATCACAGACTCGTCCACGAGAGGAAGGTGATTCCCGACCTCGAGGGCGAGACCGTCGCCGCCGCCTACGTCGACGGAGTCGCCGTGATCGGCTCCAAGTACGACGCGGTCGTCTCGCAGCTGGAGACGGTGCACGGCGCGTTCAACGCGGCGGGCCTCCAGTGCAAGGAGATGGAGCCGCCGAGCGATCACCAGAAGCTCACAGGTCTGATCTTCGATAGAGAGTCTGGAAGGATATCGCTGGGGCGGTCGCGGATGTGGAAGATCCGCCAGGCGCTGCTGTGCCAGGCGTCCCAGCGTTACGCCACGGGAAAGGAGCTGGCCAGCCTGGTCGGGCACTTCAACTGGGCGGCCCTTCTTCGCCGACCACTCCTGTGCATCTTCCAGTCGACGTATCGGTTCATCAAGAAGGCGGGTGACAGCCGCTGGAGGATATGGCCCGAGGTGATTCGTGAGCTGCGAGTCGCCGCCGCTCTCGTGCCCTTCGCCTACTACGACGCGAAGCGGCCCGTGGACTCGACGGTCTACTCCACCGACGCTAGCACGGGCGACCTCGACCCTGCGGGCAGCTTGTACGGCGGCTACGGGGTCACCAAGCGGGAGCTCAGCCAGCAGCTGGTGTTGGAGACAGTTCGGGTTCGCGAGCGGTGGCGCTACCACGTGGAGGGGGCCCTGCACGCTCGGGAGTTCGCCTTCGCCGCCCGCGACACCTCGGGGGCTCCGTCCGACGGGATGTCTTTCGCCACTGTGGACTCGGACGTCGTCTTCCCGATGGAGACCTGGCGGAACGTGACCTTCGGCCGCTGGTGCCGCGAGGAGAACATCCTGAGGCTCGAGGGGCGTGCCCTCGCGCTCGGCGTGCGCCACAAGATGCGCGCCTTGCGGTCTCGGGGTCATCTTCACCTCATGCTTAATGACAACCTTTCTTTGGTACTGGGAGTGGAAAAGGGTCGATCCGCATCCCCTTTGATCAATCAGACCTGCAGAGAGTTGTGCAGCTACAGCATTATTCACGATATGTCCGTAGCCGTGAGATGGCTACCTTCAGAGTGGAACACTTCAGACAAAGGCTCGCGCACCGTGACGGGCCAGCCGACCCCCTTTGCAGCCGACCCGCGGAATGTTGGCACGGCCTGGGTTAGCCTCGCTCGGGCGGCCGCTGACGAGAAGGCTCGGCGCCTCCACTACGACGATCCGATCGGCCTGCTCCGCCGTCGGC